CTCTCCTATTTTTAACTGACAAATCCATTTGTTCTCTAGGCTTTCTTAACTTGTTAATCTCACTCTATTTTTTATGGTTTTTATAATATTGGGTATAATATCCAAACTGTAATTAATTTATGTATGTATTCATGAACCTATTTCTATATAGATGCACAGAAAGTATAGGCAATTAATTTTGTCAACCAGTCACCATCATTGTTACAAGCTACACTAATTCAATCATGAAAACAGCATTTACTCCTCTATTTACTACATCTGAGTTGTCTGATATGATTTCTGCCCAGGAGAGACTGACAAGCACCTTCACCAGGTGCTAGATCAACCATGCTGTGATGGATATGCAGGGCAGTGGGCCACCAGCAACAACAACCTGGTTGACCAGGCTAGCACCATGAGTGGAAAGACTCTTGGAACTCATCAAAGGTAAGGTATAAGTAGAACAAAAGGTCACAAATGCCAACTGCTGTACTGAAAAAAAATGGTACAAGAGACAATATGATGTACTTCTTCCTCAAGAGTGGTAGATAAATGGAATGGGCTTACAAGTAGACATGTTAAAACCACTAGAATTTTAATATTTATTATAAATTACTAAAGCAAATGGAACACCACAAATTGTTAATCACATATAGCTTAAATCCCAAGAACTACAAATACACCTTCCAAATTTTATAATAACTTTCAAATACTATACAGTTCGGGAAATTCTAAATAATTTTTTTTACAATTCATGTTATACCTAAACTAGAATATGTTATCATATGGTAGCTACACACACAAAAGCAGAACAGGTAAAGCTTAACCCTTAAACTGTCCAAACATAGATCTATGTTCACTCACATGGCGCTCCGAATATTTTGAAAAATAAAAAAATCTTTTAAAATGAAGAGCACATTTTTCTATATGTTATAGGATAAAAAAAAAATTTAGGGTGAGTACTTACCGAGATATAAGACTGTGAAGTTGGCTCCGGATGCTCACCTGATGGCAACATCTACTCCTGCCGCTTGCAGAAGTGTTGCCGATATACCTTTTTTCTCATTTTTTATTTTAATTTGTATATTTTTTATGTTCCGATAATTACAATTTATAATAGTTCTTGTAATTTCATGGCCAATCTTTGTTCTGACGCTAATATTAAGTACTGAAATAGTGCTCAAATAGTCACAATCACACTAACAGGTGAACATTTACACCTGCTTGGGTTATTTACTATTGTCTAGAAATATATACAAAGTATTTATAGGTTCTCCATGGGGAAGTGGAACAGAATTCTTCCTCCGTAAGCCATGCGTGTTGTAAGAGGTGACTAAAATGCCGGGAGCAAGGGGCTAGTTACCCCTTCTCCCGTATAAATTACTAAATTTAAAAGAAAAACGTTCGTTTTTCTTTTTGGGCCACCCTGCCTTGGTGGGATATGGCCGGTGTGTTGAAAGAAAGAAGAAAGAGTTATAGGTCCCAGCAATGTTTTAGATACCCTGGCATATACCTTGAAGCATGTTATGAAAGGCATCCCTATACTGTTGACAATCCAGTTTTTTTTTTTTTTAACACGTCGGCCGTCTTCCACCGAGGCAGGGTGACCCAAAAAGAAAGAAAATCCCCAAAAAGAAAACACTTTCATCATCATTCAACACTTTCACCTCACTCACACATAATCACTCTTTTTGCAGAGGTGCTCAGAATACAACAGCTTAGAAGCATATACGTATAAAGATACACAACATATCCCTCCATACTGCCAATATCCCAAACCCCTCCTTTAAAGTACAGGCATTGTACTTCCCATTTCCAGTACTCAAGTCCGGCTATATAAAAATAACCGGTCTCCCTGAATCCCTTCACTAAATATTACCCTGCTCACACTCCAACAGTTCGTCAGGTCCCAAATACCATTCGTTTCCATTCACTCCTATCTAACACGTTCACGCATGCTTACTGGAAGTCCAAGCCCACAAAACCTCCTTTACCCCCCCCTCCAACCTTTTCAAGGACGACCCCTATCCCGCCTTCCTTCCCCTACAGATTTATATGCTCTCCATGTCATTCTACTTTGATCCAGTGACATTTGATATATGCCCACCACTCCAGCTAACCCTTGCTGTATTTGTTATCACTGTTACACACAAATATGTCTTGTCTCCCTGTCTATTTATCTGTCTGTCTCTGTTTGTATCTGCCTGCCTGTCTGTCTGTCTCTACTTATCTTTCTGTCTGCCTGGAGTACACGTATATTACACTCCTTAAAAAAATCGTGTTATGACATCTGTTATCAGCTCGGTGACATTTGATAAATGGGTGCTCAGGGAACCCTGGCTTTATTTGTTTTCATTGATACACACAAACATGTTTCCATCTGTCTGTTTGTCTATCTATCTCTGTCTATCTTTGACTGGAATTTTTGGATTATCCTAGGCAATTTACACTATGTATAATAACTGTACTTATGTGTACATGTGAGACAGAGATAAAGGTAGACAGAGATATAGATAGACAGAGATATAGACAGATACAGATATAAACAGAGTCAAAGCAAGCAAGCTGCCGAATACATAAGAACATATGAAAGAAGGAACACTGCAACGGGCCTACTGGCCCGTGCAAGGTAGGTACATGTCACCCTCCCCCCCGGGTTAGACCAATGATCCACCTAGTCAGGTCACATCCATTGAAGGAAGGAGCATGACATCAGACCTAGTAGCACAAGCTAGTCAAGTCCAACTCACACCCACCCACACTCACGTATTTATCTAACCTATTTTTACTTTCCTCTCAAGGGGTGAATACTACGTTAGCACATGAACTTTTTCGTTCGATTTCTTTCATTTTTTTTTTGTACGTAAAGAAGCACCTTTCAATAGTAATGTGACCAAGTTTCAATAAGATAGCTCAAAAAACAACTGAGAAAAAAATTATTTACTAATAATCATACATATTGAACAGTGTTTTCATAATGGGACTTGGAGAAGCTGTTTTGGCATTATCTACGCATAAAACAATGCTAAACTGTATTTATAACAATTGCCAAAACTGTAATTTATCCTTCTTCATTCTTAAAAAAAATAAAGTTTGTATGGTTTTGATATTCAGCCAAATATCTAACTTTTGCCCTCACAAAAATAAAAAACAAATTATGATATCTCAAAAAGGCAACTGTTTGTTTGTAAAACAATCATTCTTTATGTTCTCTCTGAATTTCATTGCATTCCTGCTATTATTAATGAAAATACAGTCATATATATGTGAATAACCTACTTCCGAGATAATCCACGAAACAGCCGGACCACCGATTTTTTTTTTTTCGAGAAAATAGCATTTTTCTCAGCATTACGAGTGTATATCATAGTTACCCCATGTTCGTTTTCTTTAATATAAGGACCCTGGAGGTGAAAGAAGGAGAATGGAAGCCCATTCCTGACGATGGGAGTCTTTTATTCCAGAGGGAACGCTACGGGAATAAGCCATATATTATTCATTCTGGAGTATTTACTGTATTTCTTTGTTATTTATATTGTTTATTATGTCATATTAGATCAATTGTGATAGATAAATAAGCCATAGAAGCTATAATAGCGTTATATTGAAGCATATTCCCCGGCCACACCGAGACTGGAATTTTCCATGACGTCAGCAAAATGGTGCCAGAAGGTTCCTGGTTGGCTCTAAGTCTACGTATAAGTCCCACCCACTGTATTATGATGCCAAATCATCAATTATTATCTTAGAAAGAATAATACAATAAATACATGAAAAAAAAACGGAAAAAAAAATGAAAATTGGCGATAGGTGAGCACACCTGCCGCGGGTGGTGATGTCACCCTAGGTGTTTTAAATGACCATAATTCCTTGTAGGAATGTCGTAGAACAATGATTCTGGTACCATTGTGTTGCCAGAGAGTTAAGCTACTTTTCTATAAGATTAACTCAATTTGTGAATTTTTTGACAAAATTTTTCGTTCGCGCTGAGTAGAGTGTACTTCCCCCTAAAATGGGAGTGTTAATGCGACATGGCATCAGTGAATCCCTGGTGATGGCTATGCTATTTGCTCTAGCTGGCACTCAATTGAACTGGTGCTCCCACAAGGTACTAAGTGCTCCCAGATTTTTTTAATACTACGCACAATGAGTGCACAGACCCATTCTTTCATGTCTAGGCGACTCAAGCCTATTGTGCCAAATTTGAAGGAATGAAAAATAGAACTTTGATCTACATTTGGAGCGCTACACATGCAAACGTTGATATACGTTTGGACAGTTTAAGGGTTAAAGTACACAACAAAATGTGTCACAAACTAAAATAATACATTGTACACAGGGATAGAGTTCATCCCAGGAAAAGTTGGAGGGAGGGAGGTAAAGGAGGCTTGTGTGAGTGTGTTAGACTGGACTGAGAGAAGACACATGGTTTTTATGGCTTGATGTTCTATTGGAGTGTGAGCAAAGTAACATTTATGAAGGGATTCAGGGAAACCAGTGAGAAAGACTCAAGTCTTGCAGGAAGGGAGTAGTGCCTGCACTTGATGATACTGTAGTTCTGAGGGCCATCTGAACTGTAATGTCAGCATGCTTCTGCAAAAGCAGCACTTGAATGAATGACTGTAAACGTGTTTCCTCTTTTGAGTCACCCTGCTTCGATAATTTATAGCCAGTGTTGAAAAAAATTACTGTACCTAATGAATGAGATTACAAGCTTCAAATGTATCATCTGCTATGAAAAAACTGTGCTAAGAAGTTTTGGACCCATTAAGCAACTGTTTTAAAAACTCGGCCATTTTCCACCAAGGCAGGGTGTCCCAAAGAAGGTAAACCTATTCATAATCATTCATCCTTTACTTGTCTTTCCATAAGTGTACAAACATCACAATTCTAATAATCCACTGGAAAGTTATATCCCCAGCCATCCTTCAGAGGAGCAGGCACCACTTCCCACCTGAATAACACTGCCTTGAATTTTATACCATGACATATGAAAGCTTAATTCAAACAATCTAGCTCACCTCTGCTAATCCACTGGGCAAGCCACCGAGACAGCTGTACAGCTCGCTTTGGAAACATATGGAAGAACTTTGCTTTAATGGCACCTTGCGATAATAGTTTAACTCCATTTATTAAGTCTTTGTGCGTGGTACCAGCAACAGAACGGGAAAACAGATAATCTACAACAGGGGCAGTCTCTGCTCGTAACCGTGTCTGGATGCTCTTCTGTACTTCTTCCACTGTATAAGGGTAGTCCAAAGCCAACTGTTGAAAGAAGCAATGGGAAATGTGATAAATGTTGCTACTATTTGCTTTACAAGCATGGTAATTTTCTTTTATACAAAAATGGACAGAAATATAATACTGAACTACAAGAATAAATATGTGCCTTGCCTGCATCAAAATAATTAAGATGACATGCAGAGGTAATACAAAGAGACTCAAAGATTATCTGAGCTAAGACACTTGTTTGTTCTGTAGTTTAGTAGAATGAATTTGCGAATTAAGGCAGGCAACACTGACTTGTGGTGTTAAGAAACATATGGGAAAAATAGGGTTGAATTCCTGACACCTTCAAAACAAGTAATTTTTTAAAATTTCTTTATTCTTCAAAATGAAGTTATTCTTCCCACATTGTATCGTACTGTAGTGAAACTTAGTGAAAAAGAAAAGTACATGTAGCTAAAATGAAGTTATATACAAAAAAAATTTCTTACCTTAAATTCTGGGTGTTGGTACATATACTCTTGGAGTGGAAAGGGTAGTTGTGACCCTTCTGGGCCAAGGTGAATGGTTGTGGTTCTTGGGTTGATGTTGATGGGGAGGGGATCTTGTGTTGATGGTGATGCAGAGTTGTTAATTGATGGTTGTACTGGGGTGCTCAGGTACTCTGTAATGCATCTCTGCTTTATTTTACCCTGAAGTATGTACTTAATACAGCTCATAAGGCATCAATACTTGCTCTACATGCAAAATCACAGCAATGCTTCTACCTCATGTGTCAGGGTACTTTTCAGTCTGCAGCTTTACCAGATCTCCTTTAGAAAACTCCTCCAACATTTCTTTTGCTGTTCATCCATCATCATCTAGGACTTCATTTACATCTGCATGCAGATCTTCAATGTCCTCACCTGTCACTCTTCTTGCCAGATCCACAGTTTCCTGGAACTGATTCTGACTAAAAGTCTTTCTAATTATTCACCACACTAGGTCATAATTTTCTCTAGCTATGCATTTACTGTTGATTGGGTAACTTCATCCCATGAAACATTTATGCTTGGTACTGCATCTGCAGCATTAAACTTATGTCAGAATTTTGGCACTCCAGTCCCAATTGTCTTCCACTGCTACAAGGACTGTTTGCAACACCTGTGTGTAGTGAGACTTGAATATCTTGATCACACTTCAACTCTGCAGTTGTATCAGAGATATCATATTTGGCAGTGAAAACACTACCGTCACACTGCATCCTGCAAGTGATGTGAATGACTAAGGAACCTTGACTAAACGATGCGAAGGACTAAGGAGAACCTTGAATGAAAAGTTCTTTTTGGCCCGGTACATCTTGACTGAAGGATTAAAATAATTCTTGGATTAAAATAATTCTTGACCACTTTAAAAATAGTTTCTCACTTATTCTGGTTGTCTTGCTAGATTGCTTTGTTTTGATTGATTGCTTTGTCTACTTTTTAAAAACACAATGATTCTGGGTACAATACTATAAACAAGGAGCGACTTGCACTTGAAATTACCTGAAGGATTAGAGCAGAGAAGCAAGCTGAAATGATTCTTTGCTGCCTTAAAATTCCAGAGCACTTTTCCTTTGTTCCAAACAGCATTTTCTTCCACAATATGCCTGCTCTATCAATGTTTTGTTCCAAACAGCATTTTCTTCCACAATACACCTGCTCTGTCAATGTTAACTCCTTCACTGTCCAACACTTAGAACTACATCATTGAAGCCAGGGTTCCTGACGTAGCTCTAAACCATGAGCACAGCTCAGATAAACAGTGAGCAGTAAATTTTCACACTGGTATGAGAGGATAGGTCTGTGCGGAGTGTATAAAAAAAATTCTCCCCCACACGGTGCATGATGGGCAAAATAGAACTGTGCCTGTGTGTATGGTTTAAAAATAGTGATGGGTTTTATGGTTTTACTGTCTGTTTCTTGGTATCAATTGAATGGAAGACATATTACTGAAACAGATATGATTTTGATTGCTATCAGGACTGGAAGTAGCTTGAAATTGAGCTCAAAGTAGCAGAAATATTAAATTTTTGCTGATATTCCTGAGGACAGGTAAGGCCCCCCTACAACCCCCAGTTGTTTTATGGTTTTTTAATAGGCCTGATTCAATTATTGGGACACTGTAAACCATGACCTATCTTTCCTAGTTACATTTTCTTATCCGAGAAATAGAATAAATTTTATATTTTCTTATATTTTTGGGTGTGGAAAGGTAGAAACATCAAAGTGAACATAGATAAGAGTAAGGTGATGAGGGTATCAAATGAATTAGATAAAGAAATGGATATCGCATTGGAGGGAGGGAGTATGGAAGAAGTGAATGTTTTCAGATATTTGGGAGTTGATTTGTCAGCGGATGGGTTTACGAAGGATGAGGTTAACCATAGAATTGATGAAGGAAAAAAGGCGAGTGGTGTGTTGAGGTATCTGTGGAGACAAAGAACGTTATCCATGGAGGCAAAGAAGGGAATGAATGAAAGTATAGTGGCACCAACACTCTTATATGGGTGTGAAGCATGGGTTGTAAATGCTGCAGCAAGGAGGCGGCTGGAGGCAGCAGAGATATCGCGTCTAAGGGCAATGTGCGGTGTAAATATTATGCAGAGAATTTGTAGTGTGGAAATTAGGAGGAGTGGAGTTACTAAAAGTATTAGTCAGAGGGCTGAAGAGGGGCTGTTGAGGCGATTTGGTCATCTGGAGAGAATGGAACAAAATAGAATGACTTGGAGAGCGTATAAAGTTATTGGGGAAGGAAGGCGGGGAAGGGGTCGTCACTGAAAAGATTGGAGGGCGGGGGCAGAGGTGAATGGAGACAAATGGTTTTTGGGACCTGGCGAGCTGTTGGAGTGTGAGCAGGGCAATATTTTGTGAAGGGATTCAGGGAATCCGGTTAGCCAGAATTGAGTCCGAGAAATGGGAAGTACAATGCCTGCACTTTCAAGGGGGATTTTTGGATATTGGTAATTTGGAGGGACATCTAAGCTGTCATATCTGAGCGCTTCTGCAAAGACAGTGATTATGGTAGTAGGTTGGTAGACAGCAACCACCCAGGGAGGTACTACCGTCCTGCCAAGTGAGTGTAAAACGAAGCCTGTGATTGTTTTACATGATGGTAGGATTGCTGATGTCTTTTGTCTGTCTCATAAATATGCAAGATTACAGGCATGTCTTGCTACTTCTACTTACACTTAGGTCACACTACACATACATGTACACATTTATTTATACACACTCATCTGAGTTTTCTTTGATTTTATCTTAATAGTTCTTGGTCTTATTAATTTTCCTTTTATATCCATGGGGAAGTGGAATAAGAATCTTTCCTCCGTAAGCCATGCGTGTTGTAAAAGTCAACTAAAATGCCGGGAACAATGGGCTAGTAACCCCTTTTCCTGTAAAGATTACTAAAAAGAATAAGAAGAAGAAAATTGTCAAAGTGGGAAGTCTGAATGTGCGTGGATGTTGTGCAGATGATAAGAAAGAGATGATTGTGGATGTTATGAATGAGAAGAAGCTGGATGTCCTGGCTTTAAGTGAAACAAAGCTGAAAGGGGTGGGAGAGTTTCAGTGGAGAGGAATAAATGGGATTAGGTCAGGGGTTTCAAATAGAGTTAGAGCTAAAGAAGGAGTAGCGATAATGTTGAAGGATAAGCTATGGCAGGAAAAGAGGGACTATAAATGTATTAATTCAAGGATTATGTGGAGTAAAATAAAGATTGGATGTGAAAAGTGGGTTATAATAAGCGTGTATGCACCTGGAGAAGAGAGAAGTGTAGAGGAGAGAGAGAGATTTTGGGAAATGTTGAGTGAATGCGTGGGGAGTTTTGAATCAAGTGTGAGAGTAATGGTGGTTGGGGATTTTAATGCTAAAGTGGGTAAAAATGTTATGGAGGGAGTAGTAGGTAAATTTGGGGTGCCAGGGGTAAATGTAAATGGGGAGCCTTTAATTGAGCTATGTGTAGAAAGAAATTTGGTAATAAGTAATACATATTTTATGAAAAAGAGGATAAATAAATATACAAGGTATGATGTAGCACGTAATGAAAGTAGTTTATTAGATTATGTATTGGTGGATAAAAGGTTGATGGGTAGGCTCCAGGATGTACATGTTTATAGAGGGGCAACTGATATATCGGATCATTATTTAGTTGTAGCTACAGTTAGAGTAAGAGGTAGATGGGAAAAGAGGAAGGTGGCAACAACAAGTAAGAGGGAAGTGAAAGTGTATAAACTAAGGGAGGAGGAAGTTCGGGTGAGATATAAGCGACTATTGGCAGAAAGGTGGGCTAGTGCAAAGATGAGTAGTGGGGGGGTTGAAGAGGGTTGGAATAGTTTTAAAAATGCAGTATTAGAATGTGGGCAGAAGTTTGTGGTTATAGGAGGGTGGGGGCAGGAGGAAAGAGGAGTGATTGGTGGAATGATGAAGTAAAGGGTGTGATAAAAGAGAAAAAGGTAGCTTATGAGAGGTTTTTACAAAGCAGAAGTGTTATAAGAAGAGCAGAGTATATGGAGAGTAAAAGAAAGGTAAAGAGAGTAGTGAGAGAGTGCAAAAGGAGAGCAGATGATAGAGTGGGAGAGGCACTGTCAAGAAATTTTAATGAAAATAAGAAAAAATTTTGGAGTGAGTTAAACAAGTTAAGAAAGCCTAGGGAAAATATGGATTTGTCAGTTAAAAACAGAGTAGGGGAGTTAGTAGATGGGGAGATGGAGGTATTGGGTAGATGGCGAGAATATTTTGAGGAACTTTTAAATGTTAAGGAAGAAACAGAGGCAGTAATTTCATGCACTGGTCAGGGAGGTATACCATCTTTTAGGAGTGAAGAAGAGCAGAATGTAAGTGTGGGGGAGGTACGTGAGGCATTACGTAAAATGAAAGGGGGTAAAGCAGCTGGAACTGATGGGATCATGACAGAAATGTTAAAAGCAGGGGGGATATAGTGTTGGAGTGGTTGGTACTTTTGTTTAATAAATGTATGAAAGAGGGGAAGGTACCTAGGGATTGGCAGAGAGCATGTATAGTCCCTTTATATAAAGGGAAAGGGGACAAAAGAGACTGTAAAAATTATAGAGGAATAAGCTTACTGAGTATACCAGGAAAAGTGTACGGTAGGGTTATAATTGAAAGAATTAGAGGTAAGACAGAATGTAGGATTGCGGATGAGCAAGGAGGTTTTAGAGTGGGTAGGGGATGTGTAGATCAGGTTTTTACATTGAAGCATATATGTGAACAGTATTTAGATAAAGATAGGGAAGTTTTTATTGCATTTATGGATTTAGAAAAGGCATATGATAGAGTTATAGGTAGTAGGTTGGTAGACAGCAACCGCCCAGGGAGGTACTACCGTCCTGCCAAGTGAGTGTAAAACGAAAGCCTGTAATTGTTTTACATGATGGTAGGATTGCTGGTGTCCTTTTTTCTGTCTCATGAACATGCAAGATTTCAGGTACGTCTTGCTACTTCTACTTACACTTAGGTCACACTACACATACATGTACAAGCACATATATACACACCCCTCTGGGTTTTCTTCTATTTTCTTTCTAGTTCTTATTCTTGTTTATTTCCTCTTATCTCCATGGGGAAGTGGAACAGAATTCTTCCTCCGTAAGCCATGCGTGTTGTAAGAGGCAACTAAAATGCCGGGAGCAAGGGGCTAGTAACCTCTTCTCCTGTATATATTACTAAATGTAAAAGGAGAAACTTTCGTTTTTCCTTTTGGGCCACCCCGCCTCGGTGGGATACGGCCGGTGTGTTGAAAGAAAGAAAGATATGATAGAGTGGATAGAGGAGCAATGTGGCAGATGTTGCAAGTATATGGAATAGGTGGTAAGTTATTAAATGCTGTAAAGAGTTTTTATGAGGATAGTGAGGCTCAGGTTAGGGTGTGTAGAAGAGAGGGAGACTACTTCCCGGTAAAAGTAGGTCTTAGACAGGGATGTGTAATGTCACCATGGTTGTTTAATATATTTATAGATGGGGTTGTAAAGGAAGTAAATGCTAGGGTGTTTGGGAGAGGGGTGGGATTAAATTATGGGGAATCAAATTCAAAATGGGAATTGACACAGTTACTTTTTGCTGATGATACTGTGCTTATGGGAGATTCTAAAGAAAAATTGCAAAGGTTAGTGGATGAGTTTGGGAATGTGTGTAAAGGTAGAAAGTTGAAAGTGAACATAGAAAAGAGTAGGTGATGAGGGTGTCAAATGATTTAGATAAAGAAAAATTGGATATCAAATTGGGGAGGAGGAGTATGGAAGAAGTGAATGTTTTCAGATACTTGGGAGTTGACGTGTCGGCGGATGGATTTATGAAGGATGAGTTAATCATAGAATTGATGAGGGAAAAAAGGTGAGTGGTGCGTTGAGGTATATGTGGAGTCAAAAAACGTTATCTATGGAGGCAAAGAAGGGAATGTATGAAAGTATAGTAGTACCAACACTCTTATATGGGTGTGAAGCTTGGGTGGTAAATGCAGCAGCGAGGAGACGGTTGGAGGCAGCGGAGATGTCCTGTTTAAGGGCAATGTGTGGTGTAAATATTATGCAGAAAATTCGGAGTGTGGAAATTAGGAGAAGGTGTGGAGTTAATAAAAGTATTAGTCAGAGGGCAGAAGAGGGGTTGTTTGAGGTGGTTTGGTCATTTAGAGAGAATGGATCAAAGTAGAATGACATGGAAAGCATATAAATCTATAGGGGAAGGAAGGCGGGGTAGGGGTCGTCCTCGAAAGGGTTGGAGAGAGGGGGTAAAGGAGGTTTTGTGGGTAAGGGGCTTGGACTTCCAGCAAGCGTGCGTGAGCGTGTTAGATAGGAGTGAATGGAGACGAATGGTACTTGGGACCTGACGATCTGTTGGAGTGTGAGCAGGGTAATATTTAGTGAAGGGATTCAGGGAAACCGGTTATTTTCATATAGTCGGACTTGAGTCCTGGAAATGGGAAGTACAATGCCTGCACTTTAAAGGAGGGATTTGGGATATTGGCAGTTTGGAGGGATATGTTGTGTATCTTTATATGTTTATGCTTCTAGACTGTTGTATTCTGAGCACCTCTGCAAAAACAGTGATAATGTGCGAGTGTGGTGAAAGTGTTGAATGATGATGAAAGTATTTTCTTTTTGGGGATTTTCTTTCTTTTTTGGGTCACCCTGCCTCGGTGGGAGACGGCCGACTTGTTGAAAAAAAAAAAAAAAAAAAAAAAAAAAAAAAAAAAAAACAGTGAAAGTGTTGATGATGAAAATTTTTTCTTTCCTTTTCGGTCACTCTGCCTCGGTGGGAGACAGCTGATGTGTTGGTAAAAATAAAGTGTGAATATAGGAGAGACCTGGGATATGACCAATGAACAGAGGAAATATTTGTTTTAGTGCCCGGAAAGTCTACATTATTTATCACTCACTCATACTCACTATTTTATGGTCTGAATGAGAATGCTCATTAGCTCTGTAATAGGTGTCTTGTAGCAGTGTCATGATGGTTAAGTGAAGCAATAATTAGGATAAGCAGCAAAGGCTAAAAGAAATGAAGATAGCCAGTGCTTGATAAGACATATGCACTGTATCTAGAATGTTGAACTCACAACATCATTGTAACATGATAATTATATACAACTGGTAAATGTAGTACTAACCAAGACATTGATGATTGCTGTGGCACCACAAGCTGAAGTAGCAATCTGTGTGACTTGACGTGCTGTAGCCTGTAATTCTGTCCAGATCATTACCTTTCTGACTCTTGGGCAGCTGTCCTCTCCTCCACCTTCACCTTCACTTGCCTATATAACATCATAGTCAGTATGGCTAAGACAAAAAGCCAAGTTAATAGCTATACATATATGGCACAAGTACAGCAGGATTATTTATATTTAATTATTAGTACAACAGCATTATTTACAATTAATAATACAACAGCATTATTTATAATTAATAGTACAACAGCATTATTTATAATAAATATTAATAAGTGGCCATGTCCGGACTTGAATCCTGGAGGTGGGAAGTACAATGCCTGCACGTTAAAGGAGGGGTTTGGGATATTGGCTGTTTGGAGTGACATCTAACTGTCGTATCTGAGTGCCTCTGCAAAGACAGTGATTGTGTGTGAACGATAGTGAAAGTGTTGAATGATGAAAGTTTTTTTCTTTCTTTCTTACTGGGTCACCCTGCCTCAGTGGGAAACGGTCGACACGCCAAAAAAGAGAAAAAAAAAAAAAGTGGCATGCAACAAAATTAAATTTTGTCCCTGACAATATACAAGAACTGATGAAAAAAAGATTGAACCGAAGGTAATGACTTGTTTCTTAACATCTCTAAAGGATAAATCCACAGTAATATTCTCCACAGCATGAATTTTCAAATGTATTTTATTAACCAGTCTCTGGATCCATTTTGTGCCTGAGTAATCTGTTGATTAGAGCCCACAGGATGAGCATGAGAGTGCATAATAAAGTTATCAACTTAACCAAAGCCCATTTCTCATAAGCCTGTTAATAAGACCTATTCTTTTTTGTCTAGGCCAAAATTTGCCATTTACAGCAAATTTGAGGGTGCTGATCACTTTGACATACTAATACGTGACAGAAAGCTTAAGTGGAGACTGGTGGATTTGTTCAACAGATGCATGAAATAGGGAAATGTACCTCAGTACAGCCTCTCCTCACTTAACGACACAGTTCTGTTCTCAAGACCACATCGGTAAACAAATTCATTGCTAAGCAAGGAGCATACTATAATGGCAGCGGGTTTGTGTCAACCATCTTTGATATTGTTTTAATATTACATCTGAACCATTTATAAAATTTTTAGTATATTTTAAATGTTTATACAGTAGTGTACTGTATAGTATTGTAATAAACAGAATAGAGGAAATCAGCTCTAATATACATTAAGTATGCATACTGGTCAGAGAGCCTGTTGTAAGTCCGAGTCGTTGGTAAACAAGTACAGTGGTCCCTCGCTTTTCATAGTTCTCGGCAATCGTAAATTTCGCCAATCATAGGGGTATTTTCGTATAAACATGGACTCGCTTTTCATAGGTTGACTCGCGAATAGTAGTTCGTCCGGGACGCGTATGCATGGTGTGAGCCGGGGCGGCCTCCCTACCCAGCCAGTCTGGCATTGTTTACCAGTGAGTGAAGGTCCCCTCAAGTGCTCCTACGAAATATTTCATAATATTCCACTCATTTTAGTGCTTGCAAGTACTAAATAAGCTACCATGGCTCCAAAGAAAGCTCCTAGTGCCAAGCCTGTGGTAAAGAAGGTGAGAAATATGTACAGTGACAAAGTCTTGGGCCATTTTAGGGAAGTGTTAAAGAGACGCCAGAAACAGAGCTCTCTCCACAGTTACTTTGCAAGACAGGACTAGAGTGACTCTCAAGGTGGTCCAAGTGGCATTAAGAAACAGAGAAGAGAAGCAACACCAGAAAAGCAATTGGTACCTGAGGTGTTGCTGGAAGGGGATTCCCCTTCCAAACTGTAAACAATCCAATCTCTCTCCTCCTCCAGTCTCCCATACACTAAGAAGAATCTCCAATAAAGGTAAGTGTTACACTGTTAATGTTTCATTCATCATTTCCCATTGTATTGTTTATGTACTACATGTATATTTCATGTAAAAATTTTTTTGGTTTTAATACTTCTGGGTGTCAGGAACGGATAAATTTAATTTTTTTTTTCAACAAGTCGGCCGTCTCCCACCGAGGCAGGGTGACCCAAAAAAGAAAGAAAATCCCCAAAAAGAAAATGCTTTCATCATCATTCAACACTTTCACCACACTCACACATAATCACTGTTCTTGCAGAGGTGCTCAGAATACAACAGTTTAGAAGCATATACGTATAAAGATACACAACATATCCCTCCAAACTGCCAATATCCCAAACCCCTCCTTTAAAGTGCAGGCATTGTACTTCCCATTTCCAGGACTCAAGTCCGACTATATGAAAATAACCGGTTTCCCTGAATCCCTTCACTAAATATTACCCTGCTCACACTCCAACAGATCGTCAGGTCCCAAGTATCATTCGTCTCCATTCACCCCTATCTAACACGCTCACGCACGCTTGCTGGAAGTCCAAGCCCCTTGCCCACAAACCTCCTTTACCCCCTCTCTCCAACCCTTTCGAGGACGACCCCTACCTCGCCTTCCTTCCCCTATAGATTTATATGCTTTCCATGTCATTCTACTTTGATCCATTCTCTCTAAATGACCAAACCACCTCAACAACCCCTCTTCAGCCCTCTGACTAATACTTTTATTAACTCCACACCTTTTCCTAATTTCCACACTCCGAATTTTCTGCATAATATTTACACCACACATTGCCCTTAGACAGGACATCTCCACTGCCTCCAACCGTCTCCTCGCTGCTGCATTTACCACCCAAGCTTCAAACCCATATAAGAGTGTTGGTACTACTATACTTTCATACATTCCCTTCTTTGCCTCCATAGATAACGTTTTTTGACTCCACATATACCTCAATGCACCACTCACCTATTTTTCCCTCATCAATTCTATGATTAACCTCATCCTTCATAAATCCATCCGCTGACACGTCAACTCCCAAGTATCTGAAAACATTCACTTCTTCCATACTCCTCCTCCCCAATTTGATATCCAATTTTTCTTTATCTAAATCATTTGATACCTTCATCACCTTACTCTTTTCTATGTTCACTTTCAACTTTCTACCTTTACACACATTCCCAAACTCATCCACTAACCTTTGCAATTTTTCTTTAGAATCTCCCATAAGCACAGTATCATCAGCAAAAAGTAACTGTGTTAATTCCCATTCTGAATTTGATTCCCCATAATTTAATCCCACCCCTCTCCCAAACACCCTAGCATTTACTTCTTTTACAACCCCATCTATAAATACATTAAACAACCATGGTGACATTACACATCCCTGTCTAAGACCTACTTTTACCGGGAAGTAGTCTCCCTTTCTTCTACACACCCTAACCTGAGCCTCACTATCCTCATAAAAACTCTTTACAGCATTTACTAACTTACCACCTATTCCATATACTTGCAACATCTGCCACATTGCTCCCCTATCCACTCTATCATAATGCCTTTTTTAAATCCATAAATGCAATAAAAATTTCCCTACCTTTATCTAAATACTGTTCACATATATGCTTCAATGTAAACACTTGATCTACACATCCCCTACCCACTCTGAAACCTCCTTGCTCATCCGCAATCCTACATTCTGTCTTACCTCTAATTCTTTCAATCATAACCCTACCATACACTTTTCCTGGTATACTCAATAAACTTATTCCTCTATAATTTTTACAATCTCTTTTGTCCCCTTTCCCTTTATATAAAGGGACTATACATGCTCTCCGCCAATCCCTAGGTACCTTCCCCTCTTTCATACATTTATTAAACAAAAGTACCAACCACTCCAACACTATATCCCCCCCTGCTTTTAACATTTCTGTCATGCTCCCATCAGTTCCAGCTGCTTTACCCCCTTTCATTCTACGTAATGCCTCGCGTACCTCCCCCACACTTACATTCTGCTCTTCTTCACTCCTAAAAGATGGTATACCTCCCTGACCAGTGCATGAAATTACTGCCTCCCTTTCTTCCTCAACATTTAAAAGTTCCTCAAAATATTCTCGCCATCTACCTAATACCTCCCTCTCCCCATCTACTAACTCCCCTACTCTGTTTTAACTGACAAATCCATACTTTCCCTAGGCTTTCTTAACTTGTTTAACTCACTCCAAAAATTTTTCTTATTTTCATTAAAATTTCTTGACAGTGCCTCTCCCACTCTATCATCTGCTATCCTTTCGCACTCTCTCACCACTCTCTTCACCTTTCTTTTACTCTCCATATACTATGCTTTTCTTATAACACTTCTGCTTTGTAAAAACCTCTCATAAACTAACTTTTTCTCTTTTATCACACCCTTTACTTCATCATTCCACCAATCACTCCTCTTTCCACCTGCCCCCACCCTCCTATAACCACAAACTTCTGCCCCACATTCTAATACTGCACTTTTAAAACTATTCCAACCCTCTTCAACCCCCCACTACTCATCTTTGCACTAGCCCACCTTTCTGCCAATAAGTCGCTTATATCTCACCCGAACTTCCTCCTCCCTTAGTTTATACACTTTCACCTCCCTCTTACTTGTTGTTGCCACCTTCCTCTTTTCCCATCTACCTCTTACTCTAACTGTAGCTACAACTAAACAATGATCCAATATATCAGTTGCCCCTCTATAAACATGTACATCCTGGAGCCTACCCATCAACCTTTTATCCACCAATACATAATCTAACAAACTACTTTCATTACGTGCTACATCATACCTTGTATATTTATTTATCCTCTTTTTCATAAAATATGTATTACTTATTACCAAATCTCTTTCTACACATAGCTCAATTAAAGGCTCCCCATTTACATTTACCCCTGGCACCCCAAATTTACCTACTACTCCCTCCATAACATTTTTACCCACTTTAGCATTGAAATCCCCAACCACCATTACTCTCACACTTGATTCAAAACTCCCCATGCATTCAATCAACATTTCCCAAAATCTCTCTCTCTCTCCTCTACACTTCTTTCTTCTCCAGGTGCATACATGCTTACTATAACCCACTTTTCACATCCAATCTTTATTTTACTCCACATAATCCTTGAATTAATACATTTATAGTCCCTCTTTTCCTGCCATAGCTTATCCTTCAACATTATTGCTACTCATTCTTTAGCTCTAACTCTATTTGAAACCCCTG